ACACCATAATAAATCTCAGAGATGAGACTGAACACTTGATCAGACCACCAGGACTAAACTTGAAAATGATTGCCTTTGTTTCCCCTCTCTATATAATCTCCTGGCTGTACCTAAATGAGATGGGAAGACAGAATTTTTAGCATTACTAATCTATCTTAGAATCCTGGCTTTCAATAAAAACACAGCATATGGGCTGGGGAGTTGGCTCAGCGGTTAAGAGCACTGGTTCTTACAGAAGACCAAGATTTGAATCCCACCACCCAGCGGCTAACAGTGGTCCGTAACTCCAGTTCCAGGGGATCCGATGCCCTCTTCTGTCCTCCTTTGGCACTGCAGGACACTGGTGCACTCATCACATGCAGACATAACACTCATACACATAAATAACAATCTAAAAAGCACAGCTTAAAGATTTTTCATTTTATGCATGTGATGGACTGCTCACAATTTTGAGCATCACTTCACGTATGTGTTGGCTATCATGTCTTCACTTTAAGAAATGCCCATTCCTTGCTCTTCCTTTTTTTTGGGGGGGGGGGACTTCTTTTTGAGACAGGGTCTCCCTATAGCTCCCAGCAGGCCTGGAACTCACCATGTAGACCTGCCTCTGCCTCCAAGCACTGAGGAAAGGCATGTGCCACCTCGCCCAGCCCCCCTTTACATTTTTAACTGATTGTTTTCTAAACATGCATGTATCAGAAAATGAATTTACTAGCAACTTGGTTTTAAGACTTTGACCTTCAAACTGAGAAATGTCTAAGGGTTAAACCCATCACTGTTTAAATAACTAAGCCGGGCGTGGTGGTGCATGCCTTTAATCCCAGCACTTGGGAGTCAGAGGCAGGCCAATCTCTGAGTTCAAGGCCAGCCTGGTCTACATAGTAAGTTTCTAGGACAGCTGGGGCTACAGAGAGACCCTGTCTCAAAAAGACCAAAAAAAAAGTCTTAACTACTGAGTTGTCTTCAGAAGTGCTTCTTTGTGGGTGGATTCAAGTTACCATCCTTTCATTTCAATATGAAAGATCCTCTTCAGCATTCCTTTGAAATAAATCTGCTAGAGGCAGTCTGTCCAGCCTTCATTTAAAAACTTTGTGGGGCTGAAGAGATGGGTGCACTTACCTACACACAGGCAATACACATATGCACATAAAAAAAAAAAAAAAGTTTTGCCTGCATGTATTTAAAGTCCACTTTTGTCATGTAATGCCCAGAGGCCGAAAGGCAACATCAAGATCTCCTGAACTGGAGCTAAGGAGGTTTGCTATCACAGGTGCTGGGAACTGAACTCAGGTCCTCTAGAAGAGCTGCCAGTGTTCTTAACCACTGAGCCACCTCTTAGCTCCCCTTAACGTTGTTTTTGTGGAATAATTTTAGGCATAAAATTCCTATCTTTTTCTGTCAGCCCTTTTAAGTGTCATGGGCTACCTCCCCACCTCCAAGACTCAGCATATGAAAGGATGTTAATTTCTTTTTCTCTTGCTGCTTCCAGGATTGTGTGATTATTTTAGTACATTCAACTTGTTTTGGTTGTGCAGTTTTTGTTTTTGGAAATGATCTACTCAAATACGCTTTCTGCCCTTTTCTTTTTAGCATTTTCATTCTACACGTTAATACATTTGATAGTATCCCATAAGTCTCTGAGGCTCTCATTTCTTTTTCCATTGTTTACAATCAGGCTGTATTTTCAATTGGCCCATCTTCACTCTTAGGGTTCAGTATTCCTTCAAACCTGTTGAGCCCTTCTGGTAAAAGTTTTAAGTGCTCTTAACCACTGAGCCATCTCTTGAGCCTTCTCATTTATCCCTTTATTGGTATTTCTTTGGTAAGGGATTTCTCAATATTGTGTTTTAATCATAGCTTATTATTTGGATACATTTACAAAAGCTGACCTATTAAGTTCAACATTTTTATTTCCTCATAGATCCTTTCATGATCTTTACATGTCTTTTTATTATTTTGGCTAGGGGTTATAGCTCCATGTAGCCCTGGTTCAATCACCAGCCTGCCTAAAACTGGGTATGGTGGTACAGGCCTGTTATCCCAGCACTGAGGAAGGTAAAGAGATAGTTCAAAGTCATCCTGAGCTACATATTAAGTTCAAGGTCAGCCTGGGCTACCTAAGACCTTTTTTTTTCTTTTTAAGATAAGTGTCTCATGTAGCCTAGGTTGGTCCTGAACTCATGTAATGACGATGAACCTGAACTCTTGATCCTCTTTTCATCTCTCGTGTTGAGATTACAGGTGTGAGTTATCCACTTTTAGAAAACTCTGGAAATCAGAATTCCTGTTCAGTGACCTTCCTGGATTCATTTTATAAAGTATACATTATTTGTTGTATGTGACCACTTAAGTCTTTGCTTCATTAACTTATTGATCAGTTACTATTTATAGACACAGATTTCCTTTAAACCCTTAAACCAACACTCCTCCCACCCTTGCTGAAGTGCTGCTTTGGGAGTTAGGGTTTTAACACTAGCAATACACTTAATGTGCTTTAGCCTTCACTTTCTGCTAGTACAGAGCTTCAAGGTCTGCTACAAGTGAGAACTGTGTCTTAGATTTCATGAGTATGCAAACATGCTGTCATAGCCACATGCCATTCTAGGGCCCCATGTATATGCTGGAACTCTTCAAAGTGTTCTTCAGATAGACCATGCTACTCCTCCCTCATTTCATCATTTTGGTCAGTCTCTTTTCACCCAAAACTGATTGGGTATGTTAAAGTGTTTTCACAAAACTCCTGGAGATCTAACTTTTTACACTGTGCACAGAGTCAGACCAAAGATAAGCTATGAAAGCAGTAAGGTGCAAGACAATTCTTAAAATTTCAAGATTTTCAGGGATATTAAGAATGTTCTTTGGGAGCTCCAAACTTAATTCTTTTGGGGAAACTTAAATCTCTCCCCCAGTGCCTGGTAAGATGCCAGATTTTTGTTCAAGACAGGGTCTCCTGTGGCTCGGGCCTTTATCTCCTGATACCCCCTTGTTTCTACTTTATAAGTATTGGATTACAGACATGTACCACTACCACCAGCTCTAAATTCTTGGCTTTCCTAGCTATCAGCCCTGGGAAACCTTTTCAAAGAGGGAAAAGCTGGAATAGAGCAATTTAAAATACTACCTGTTATAGTTCTTAAAATTATCAGAAGTCTTTGGTTATTCTAGAGTTCTTGGAAGGGGAGAAGGGATTCCTGAAAGCTGTCATCTTACTTGCACAAGCATGTTGCAGAAAGTACCCACATTCATGTGTGTATACATACACACACAAATACACAAATGCAGTTAAAAAAAAATTGATGGGGCTGGAGAGATGGCCCAGTGGTTAAGAGCACTGACTGCTTCCTGCAGAGCACCTGGGTTTAGTTCCCAGCACCGACATGGCAGCTAATAACCATCCAGAACTCCAGTTCCAGGGGATCTGATGCCCTCTGCTGGCTTTCATGAGCATTGCATGCACAGGTGTACTCACATGCAGGCAAAACACTCATACACATAAAAATAATGTATAAAAATTGAATCTTTAAAAAAATACTTTTTAATTATGACAACTCCTACAATGCTCTTGTTTTATTATTTTATGTGTTTTGCCTGCATGTATGTAAGTGCACCACATATGTGCACAATGCCCACAGAGGGCAGAGGAGGGTGTTGGATCACTGAACTGGAGTTACAAATAGTTGTTAGCCACCATGTGAGTGTTGAGAATTGAACTCAGGTCTTCTGGAAGAACAGCAAGCATTCTGAACAGCTATCTCTCCAGCTCCCCCCCACACACACACACACAAACACACACACTGTTTTTATGTTGTTGTTTTTTTTTTTTTTGAGACAGGGTCTCATGTAGACCAGGCTGGCCTTGAACTTGCTATCTGAGGAAGACCTTGAATTTCTGATGTCTCCCCTCTCTGAGTGCTAGAATTATAGGCATGCACTGCCACTCCTTTTATGTAGTGCTGGCACATAGTTTACCAACTAAGTTACATTTCCCAGCCCCAAGGATATTGTTTTTAATCATTAAAACTGTGTACTACTCTTCTTATCTTACTCTAAGATTAGCATACAAAAGATATACAGAAATACAAGTATTTCTGCATACAAATGTTCAAGGAAAATGATCTCTTCCTCTAAGGTTCAAAGAATTTTAAAATGATAATGTAAAACTTATTATGAAGCTACAGTAACCATACTACAGGGCACTGGCATAGGAGATAGAGAACAATGAAATGCAAAAGTCAAAATGAATCTGTTATATATAATGGACAGTTGGACCCTGACATTTCACCAGCACTTGCTGCCAAGCCTGATGATCTGAGTTTGATTACCAGAACCCACATGGTGGAAGAATTGATTCCCAAAAGTTGTCTTCTGACCTCCACATGCAACCCCCCACCCCCCTGCACGCACATGCGCACACCACACACACACACACACACACACACACGAGTAAAAACAAAAAAATAAATTTCACCTGTAATCCCGACCCCTTTGCTTCTTGAGAAGCAGAGGCAGGACCCTTGAGGTCCAGGATTTGTGGCCAATCTACATAGCCTAGCAAGACCTCATCTAAAAAAATAAAGAGTCGGGAGCGGTGCTGCATACCTTTAATCCCAGCACTTGGGAGGCTGAAACAGGAGGATAATTTGAGCCCAAGAGTTCAAGGAAAGCCTGGGCAACACAGGTAGACAGACCCCTTGTTCTTAATCCTCCCCAAAAGGTGAAATTGGTAGATTTGGTTCTATACCATGCTTAAGTTTTTAAATGATATCCAAAGTATTCATCACATTTAATAAGTCAACTGATCCAGTGATTATGGGAGTGAATTACTTAGGTAAACCTTATGAAACGTTGGTAATGAGAACCAACAGTATCTTTCCTCCTCCTGCCACCACCACAATCTCCATTTTCCTCCACACACAAGCCTGTGTGAAAACACACACATGCACAATGCACTCACTCTATCAATTACCTATATATTTGACAATGATTACACATTCAATAACTTCACTAAATGATGCAAATAGTTTATGTGTTCCCATACTGACATAAAAACACATACATTCTCTAAGCACAAAGCTTATGGTCACAAATAACTTTCTGCTTAAAGATGAAATTTCAATTAATAACCACAATGGGAGTTTAGTTATTTAATACAATCACTAATCTAATATGTCATCAATAAAATCTAAGCAGTTTCATCACAAAACCAAGGTTATATTCAGCAAACATGCATTAATAATCTATACAATTTAACATTACCCCAGAAAAAGAATTGAATATAAAAGTTCTTAAAATTTTTGGTGGTTTTCAAATTTCATGGCACAGATTACCCAAAAAATTATAAAAACAATTTCAATAAAATGGTAAAAAATTGAGTAAGCCTTTAAGTTTTTATACTTGGCTCAATATTTAAAACATCAAGCTGGCCCCAATCTGTCAAAACTGACAGATAAATATTTACAACGACTAGACAGACTTTAGTTACAATGATACTGGAGGTCTACTTCCTCCCAGTAAAACCCTGTGGGGGTTATTTCTCAATGCAAGCAGGTCTTTGTAAATACTGTGATAATATAAACTTGGAGACATACTTAGACTCGACTCAGGACAAAAATGAAAAATAAGACATACGTCAATATTATTTCTGACTAGTCAGCATAAAGCCTTGTGGCTCCCAAAATGTCAACACTGTCTCAATATAAAACTAAGAGTCAAATGACTACCCTACTGGCTGACATTTCTTCTACAGAATTATCTCTTACTCTGTATCAAAGTAAAGTTCAAGCTCCATTAACTTGCTTCTATAGAGTGTAATTAGCAGAGCACCAAATTTATAAACAGATATGGCAACTCAAAATGCCAAGCACACTCTTCAAACTTCGTTTTCCATTTTTATTCTATGTGCCATGTTATTCTTGAATCTGAAGGGGCCACCAATAAGAAAAGAGTAAGGGGAAGCTTTGAACATATCTTGTACTTTTCATCAAGGCTAAAGTGCAAAATATCTCTGCATCTCTGGTATTTTAATAGGGAAAAGTTATCAAATACATAATGAAGATCAGTAAAAGCAACAGTAAAACTAATACAAAAGAACTCTTAAATATACAACTGAGGAATACACATCATTACCAATTTAACTTTTTGCACTTCAGTTAATCTGTAAATGAACCATATTCTCATAGAACTTTTTTGTTTGAGTCTCTTCCTCATGACCATAAATTCTAAACTTACAGGGGAAAAAAATGGAAAAAAAATAACATTGCAGGACAATGGACACTAAGTTTATAAAGAACCTCTTTTTAAAAATGAGATATTATGTAAGAAAATACCATGAAAATAATAATCCTATGAGAATTGTTAAGCGCAGTAAATTTGAGCCTCAGTCTTCATGAAGATACTACAGTTTATATACAAAACTATAAATATACAAGACTTCAAGGGGAAAAAAGTCAAATACATATTGTCTAACATTCTTTAGGCCTAAAAAACTTGAGAAGAGAGAGGAAAAGATGGCCAACTGAATCTTTAAGAGTATCAAACTAAAGCCTGGTGTGGTAATGCACACCTATATTCCTAGCACTTGGAAAGGAGAGAGGATAATCACTGCAAGTTTGAAGCCAGTCTGGTCTACTCAGTAAGTTCCAGGCCAGCCAGGGCTACATAATGAGACCCTGCCTCCAAAAAAAAAACTCCACAACTATGAAAAACTCCTAAGTCAAAGGGTGCTCTAGAAGGAACCATACTTTGTGTATGCACATAACTTATATTATTAAAAGGAAAAAAAAAAAAGCACTGAATTACTACAGTCCTTTCCAAAAAGTCTTAAATTAAGGAGAAATTAATCTAAGTGTAAACGAGTATGGCTCAGAAAGAAAACAGAACATATCCCAGATCTGCCCATAAAAGTAATGATGGTACATCTTTAATATTAAAGAAATAGGCTATAAAAAGTTCAGTCTCAGAATTGATTTTTAACAGCTCATTTGTGCTCCTTGGTGGGTGCATAATAAAGTTCCATGGGTTTATTCACTTTCCAGTATTTCTCACTGACCAATTCCAAAGAAAAAGAGCCGTTTAATACCTAAAATAAAAAAAAAAAAAGACAAGGTCATGAGAACTCCATGAAGTTCAATAATAGATTAAACAAAAGGCCACAAAATCATGTCCACAACAGAAGAAAGGCATCACAAAGTTAACTAATTGCCCTGTTATAATTCTTTTTGAGTCTCAAGGTTCTCTACTTTCTGAAGAAACCCCACACCACTCCCTTGCCATTTAGTTAATGTGCTTCCTGTTTCAACAGCTCATTCTTTCAAATACTTACAGTGAACTGGCCACTGGACGTTGCTATATAAATGGTGTACTGCTTCTCACTGGCTGTATCAAGGTTCATCTGGTTTGATTCTCCTTTGCTTCGAAGTTCTTCTAAAGCTAACCTCACAGCCAGATACTTGGATAAGTGATCAACAGTCGCATTACCTGACGTTTTTATATATCTAAAAGAATAAAGCATCAAAAATTTAATTTGGAATGTATACTAAGAAAAAGGATCCTAAATTAAGGAACTATATTTCTAAAAAACTATATAAAATATGAATGCCCCAATTATTGAAAATCAATAGAAATTTCCCACTTTATAATTAAAGTCAGGCCATGAAAGCTTTACCACTACCCTTACCTTCTATAGTATGAGTCAAAGCAACAGAAATCAAACAGAAAAATATAATGTACTAAAGATTTAAAACAGAACAGCGTACCTTTCAACCCAAATTATTAGAATCTGCTGGCTGTAGCAGCAAGAGGAACAGTAAAAATATGAGCAAATTATTTTCTTAAGAAATCAACATTTCTGGTTTTAAAGACTGAACACAGAAGTGCTAATCCTGGTATTTTTTAAAGCATAATGTCATTCAGTTAACTCACTTAACAAACATTTGATGTTTATCTGCACTCACTGGCAGGCACAGTATGTGAGAGATGTGGAAATGCATCCTTCCCAGTGTGAAATTTAGAGCCTATTGCAGATTTCATTTTTCCCCATCTACTTATACAAGGGTTCCTGCTTTCACATATGCAACTTTGCATGGGAAGCACATAAAAAAGAAAACACTCTGGGCACCAATACATTGAACTCTAAAAATAAGATGGCAAATTCTACTTTTCATAGACAAACTTGAACTAATTCACCCACTCACCTTGTCTGCGCACTATCATCTTTTTCCATAAGTGTAGGATGGGGCCTGAATACTAACTCAATTTCACTAGCACCATCCATTACTGGATCAATTGCAACTGTTGCATTGTTATTATCCAGTTCTAGCCCGGAATCATCAGATGTTTTGGTCCGTTTGTTACTAGGGCCTGCTTCCTGATTGCTGTGTGTGGATGCATTACTACAGTGGGAACTGTCGCCATTATCTTCTGCTCCACTACCGTTTTCAATCTGTTGCTTCTTGCCTCGCTGTAATCTAGTTAAGGGGGAAGAAGAAATAAAATTTACATTTGAACATTTAGAGTATCAAATGTAAAGCAAGTTTCTAAAAAAAGAAAATATGACAAGTGAATTTGAAGTGGTTTGACACTATTTCTCCACATGTCCCTGACAGATTTTTAGAAAAGTTCAGACACAAATATGATTTTTAACAAATAGTTATATATTAAATATTTTATTTATATTTTTATTTTTTATGTATATGAGTGTATTGCCTGCATGTATGTGTGTGCACCCGTGTCACACAATACCGCGGAGGTCAGAAGGCGGCTTCGGATTCCCCTGGAACTGGAGTTAAGGACGATTCATAGCTGCCATATGGGTGCTGAGAATC